GTACCACGATCTCTTCTAAATCCAGCCTGTACATCTGGCAGTTCTCTGCTGACAATATTGTTCCAATCGTTTTTGGATAATTTTCAGCAGAATTTTGCTTGCATGTGATATTAATGATATTACTCGATAACTTCCGCACTCTGTTGGGTCACCTTTCTTTGGAATGGGAACAAATATAGATCTCTTCCAGTCAGTTGGCCAGCTGGCTGTCCTCCAGATTTCTTGGAACAACTTAGCAAGCACATCCAAGGCAGCATCTGTTTTTTGAAATATGTCAATTGGTATACCGTCAACTCCGGGAGCCTTAATTTTTGCCAATTCCTTCAGAGCAACTTGAACTTCCTCCTTCATCAGCACTTACTCATATGTTATTTCATGAAATTCTCCTATGTCAGCAAATTTCTTCTGATACAGTGACTCTGTGTACTCCTTCCATCTTCTTTTAATGCTTCCTGGATCATTTTACATTCTACCCAAGATATCCTTACGTATTGCCACCCATGGCTCGAATTTATTTTTCATCCCCTACAGCTTAAGAAACACTGAGCGAGTTTAGCCCTTTTGGTTTTCTAACTCCAGCTCTCTGCTCATTTCATTATAGTATCTTGCTTTTCTTCCAGAGCTGCCTTTTGAAATTTTCTGGAGGTGTATGTCAGTGGACCTCTCAAGAGTACTGAAGTGCAATGATGTCAGGCTGGAGACTAAGGAGCGCCTGATCCAGGCTATAGTCATTTCAACTATGTGCTATGCATTGGAGAGTTGGACAGTGAATAGGGATGACGGAAAGAGAATTGATGCCTTTGAGTTGTGGTGCTGGAGAAGAGTGTTGAATATACCATGGACTGCTAGGAGAACAAACAGGTTTGTCCTAGAGAGGGTGAAGCCAGAATGTTCCCTTGAGTCAAGGATTCTGAATCTTCGTCTGACATACTTTGGGCATGTTGCAAGGAGGGACTGGTCCCTGGAGAGGGACATCATGTTTGGGAGAGTGGAGGGACGGCGCAGGAGAGGAAGACCCTAGATGAGATAGATCGACTCTGTGAGTGGAAAGCTGGGAATGAATGTGTGAGAAACAACGAGGTTGGCACAGGATAGAATGGCGTTTAGGACTCTTGTACATAGGGTCTCTATGAGTTGCAAACGACTTGATGGCACATAACAACAACAACAACAACAACCCATTCATTTGTAAAATTAGGAAAATATCATAGCATTGGGTTGGAGGAAGACTCATCAACAACCTGTGACATGGAGATGATACAACCTTAGTTGTAGCAAATGAAGACATTAAGGACTTAGACATTAAAATGCAGTTGTACTGTTAACTCAAAGTGGAACTTCTCTGGCACTTCAAATTCACCCATGGGTCTGCGGGTATAGATGGGCAATCTTCTCCTGAACAATTTATACTCTCTGAAAACTTTTTGGAGGATCAGCTCTCTGTTGTTTCCAATTCCACAGCAATAAGCTTGTGGTTTCTTTTGTTTTTCTTAAATAATCTTGGGTAAGATTAAACTACAACATAAACAAAGCAAAAATTCTCTTAACAAGACCAGGAAGCAACAACATGATAAACAAAGAAAAGATTGAAGTATTAAAGTTAAGAATTTCATTTTACCATCACTGTTCATTAAAATAGCAGCCCCTAAATAAAACAAAAAATTTCTTGTATTGGGCAAATTTGCTATCAGGGACTTCTATACTCTTAAACGGCAAAGAGGAAGAATGTCACTTTAAGGTCTAAGGGGTGCCTGGCCCTATGACATGTTATTTTCAATTGTCTTATATTAATTTAAAAGTTTAACAATGCATGAAGAAGTCTTTGAATTACAGTGTTGGAAAAAAATACCGAATATATTCAATACCTTTTGGGATGGACTATCAAAAGAATAATCAAATCTATTTTAGAATAATTGCAGAATATTCCCTAGAGATTCTGTCTTACATACTTTGGGCATGATAGCAGTGGGGGCCAGTCCCTGGGGAAAGACATTATGTTTGGTAAAGGAGAGGATAAAAAAAAAAAGAAGAACTTTAATGAGAAAGGTTAATACAGTAGTTGAAATAATGGATTTACACAGCAGAAATTTTAAGAGTAATGCAGGTCTGGGCAGTTTTTCATTCTGTTGTAAGAAGGTCATGGTGAGTTCAAGCTGACTTGAGTCATCTAACTGGGTAAGAATCATACCTACTCTATTTGTATGCTGCACAAATAATGTGAAAATACGGGCTATATGAAGAAGAATGCTGGAGGAAGACTCATTAACAACCTCTACATTTCTCAAGTTGAAAGAACATGCTTGACATTCTTCAAGCTGAAAGAACTGAAGAAAAAATTCAAGCCTAGAGTGATTCTTTATGTTGAGGTTTAAACACAATGTCATGAATGTCTTTCTCTAAGGGCCAAAGAGAGTAAGAAATCACAGCGCCTCACTCCCCCAGAGCAGAAGAAAGGAGGTAAAGAATCTGTAGCCCACTCCCATGGTACCTAGAGCTCCATCAACAGCAAGAGATTCGTTTATTTGTTGCTGCCTCACAGTCATAGTTACAGCACCAACAATGGGATTTATTAGGGAAGAAAGTAGGAGAACATGTTTGGCAAAGAGTATTTTTACCATACAAGTCCAGGTTTTAGCCCAACAGTTCCAAGGCTCAGTTCCTCAATTAGTTTAGGCTCTGGTTTTAGTTCAGCAGTCAAATCCAAATCATGCAGCAAGGTTTGCCTCCAAGCAAATAAGCATTCAGCAAGTTATAAATCAGCTTCTCTTTGAAGCATCTGGCAAGAACAGCAAACACCTTTAACTGTGACCTTTGTCTCATAGCTCCTCTGCTTACACCTTGCCATAGTTTCTCCACAGCAATGCTACAGTCTCTCCAACACCATCACCAAAATCCTGTCAACCGTATCTGCTACAGTCTCTCTCAAGTCTTGTCACCACATGTCTTGTTGCCTCAAGTCTTGCTGCCCCAGTGTGTAAACACACTTTCTCTTAGTTCCATATCTATTGATGATTTTGCAAGACCACATGTGTCTGTGGTTAATGTAGCTGGAGATCAGAGGGGGCTAACTAATAACAAAAAAGCCAACTTTTAGGCAAACATCACACAATTCTATGGACAAAATAATGAATAATGAAGGTGGCATCAAAAGAAAATGAAAGAAATACAGAGTTTCTGTGTAAAAAAGAATTGGATGGCATGGAACCATTTCAGGAAGTAGCATATGATCAAGAACCAATGTTAATAAAGGAAGAAGTTCAACCTGCACTGAAGGCACTGGCCAAAAATAAAATGACAGAAAACCAAGTGAAGTGTTTCAACAAAGAGACACAATCCTGGACATGTTCACTAGGCTAAGTCAAGAAATTTGGAAGGCAGCTATCTGACTACCAGACTGAAAGAGATCTTGTTCTCATTAAAACAAAACGAAATAGCCGGCATAGTACACCAACTTCCAGATATTAAAGCTGGATTCAGAAAAGTCATCAGAAGAGGAATATCACTGTTGATATCAGATCTTGGCTGAAAGTAGAGAATATGAGAAAGATGTTTTAATTGTGTTTCACTGGTGATGCAAAGGCATTTGACTGTGAATTGTAAATTATGCAGGAGGCATCAAAAGAAGATGAAAGAAATGCAGTTTCTACATCAAAAAGAATTGGCTGACAGGGAACCATTTCAGGAAGTAGTATATAATCAAGAACCAACAGTAATGAAGTAAGAAGTTCAAGCTGCTTTGAAGATATAACAAATTATTGCTAACATTGCGACGAACTGGACTCCTGGAACACTTGACCAAGAAACAGTTCCTAGAAGTGAATGGAATAATTTAAAATCAGGAAAGTTGTGCTTCAAGGTTATATTCTTCCTCCATTCCTGTTCAATATGTAAAGACAGCAAATAATTTGAGAAGTTAAGACTATGTAAAGAAGAATTTGGCTTCATGATTGGAGGAAGACTCATCAATAACCTGCATCATGTAGATGACACAATCCTGCCTTAAAATAGTAAAGAAGACTTCAAGCATTTACTGAAGAATATGTGACTATAGCCTACAATATGTACTACATCTCAACATCAAAAAACCCCAAAAGTCATCAACATTGAGCCAACAGGCAGCATCAGGAAGATGGAGAAAAGATGGACATTTGGATCTACAATCAATGCTTATGGTAGTTGTTATCGCTGTTCTGTACCGTAGAGTTGGAACTGAACCATAACTGACTTTTTGGTGGTTTTTAATTACATGGAAGCAGCTGGTGGCCTTGAACTGCGTGCCTTCGAGCACTTCTCGCAGTGCAGCTTCTTGCCACTAAGATACACTAGGAATATCTGCTGTCTAGAGCCTCTCCAAAGTGATAAAGGGTAATGAATTCAGTCCTTAAGACTTAGTTGGGCCTGATCAGGCATGGCCTTTTCAATTTCTTCCTATGCATCTGAAAGTTGGAAAGTCTGTAAGGATGACAGAAGAAAAATAAATTATCTTCGAACTGCAGTGTTGGCCAAAAGTATTGAGTATCCCATGGACTTCCAAGAGAAAAAACAAATCTGTCTTGGAAGAAGTACAACTTTGTCTCACATATTTTGGGCTAGTGTTAAAAAAGGAAATCATGCTGGAAAAGGTAGAGGGTCAGTGAAAGAGAAAATGATCCTCAACAAGATAGACTGAGTGAATATAATAATGGGCCAGGGCACAGTAGAGATCATGAGGACAGTATAGGATACGGCATGGTGTCTATCTACTGCTCACATGGTCCCTCTGAGGGTAGAGGACTGGACAGGACATAATAACAACTACAAATTCTTTTCTCCCATAGCTTCTTAAACAACTTATCATCCTAAACTCAGACACATGATAATGATACAATCTACTGCCACCACTCAAAAATACCATCTGTGTCAGGGGTTTATTATTAAACTTCATGTATTAATTGCTTAGATGTTTAAATACACATTTCTTTCCAGTCTCACAATTACCATTACCCTAAAAGTGAAATTACCTTTGACTCTTTGCTTCTTTTCCTTTTGTTCACTTAATTTATCCAGTGGTAAGTTTGTCATCTCAACTCCATAAACTGTTTTTGCAAGCACTGCTGTTAGGGAATCCATGATATTGGCCCACTCATTTATGAGCTCCTCCCACTCCGTGAGGGAAGACAGCACATTGAGAAAGTCATCCCAGAGCTCTCGAGAAATGTACACACAGAGGTTTGCTCGGATCCAGGCCACAATGAGTGTCTAAACAAACCAAACAACAAGAGAATTCAAGTGTCTTCTTTTGAAAGAAGTGTAATATTTAACAAACTGTTTTAAATTACTATTTAAGAGATTAAAAAGTAAAAAATGCTTACTGATATGTTTATTTCAATTTTTAAAAATTCCTTTAGCTACCAGTATTTGAGCTACTGTGAAACTAGCACTATTGTGGATAAAAGTGACACATTAGTGACTATTTCAGTAGCTGTGCCTGGTCTGACTATAATTAAGGAAAAGAGAAAGCCCTCACACCCCAATTATTCTGCACCTTATCAAAGTTCCTTCCCTCACTCCCTATGGTACCTATTTCAAACCTCAAACTAAAATTTGGCAAATGAATTCTCTCCACACTTTTCAGGAAATACAAACTACTAAAAGAGAACCTCCTCAAATACTGCCTGCAAATGCTTATGCACATTCACATCCAGATTCTGCTCCACCTGCTGGCAGTAATCAAAGAGGAATTCTTTATCTTGATTCCTTTTGTGCTCTACCCTCCTTCTTCATATATTTTGTGCATCAAATAATCTCTTCTTCCTTAAGTCTTTCCCACCACCAGTTAAACATGTTCAATTCTGCATCCTAAACTAACAAAAAATTACTGTACTAAACTAACAAAAAATTCCACCTGAATCTCTGTCTTCACAATCTAGCTAGAATCCTATCCTTTTTCACCCCCTTTCAAACTTGAATGTCTTAAAAGAAAGCCCTATATTCCATCTCTATTTCCTCAGCTTCTAGTCTAGTCTCAACCAATTGCTCTTGCTTTTGCTCTTTCTACACAATACTATCTCCTTCCCAAAGAATTCTGAGAGAGTGATGGTTAAAATATGTTGCTCCAAACCTAAAGGTTCATTGTTCAAACCCACCAGCCAATCTGCATTTCATGTAACCATTTATACACATATTATCGCATTCATTCCAATTGTCACACTGTAACAGCACACTTCTTATTACTTCCTGTAGTTCTTGTATCCTTTGATCCTTCTATACTCTCCTTTCCTGCCTTCGAAACATTTTTAAGCCTGGACAAGTGCTGCCCATTTGATGGTGTACGGTTAACCTAACCCTGGTGTTTTTATTCAGCTTATAGTCTGCCTTCTGTTTGGCTGAAATTTGGGGCCAATAGCACTGAGCTTTGTACCTAGTTCAAAGAGTGGTTTAAGGGCCGTATCTTGGAGTTTCCATTAGTCTCTGACAGACCAGTAGCCTTGATTTTGAATTTTGTTCACATGTAACTTCTTGTATCCGGGACCCTCTGATCCCTTTCAGAAAGGTCAATAATGTACCCGGGTCATTGCTGTTGTGAACAATACATTTTAACCCTGTCCTATCTATCCTGTGCCATCTTCACACCTCCTGACACACTAGAACCCATTGCAACAGTCACTGTGTCAATCTACCTTGTTGAGGGTTTTCCTCTTTCATCAACTCTGGGCCTTTCTAAGCATAATGTCCCTCTCCGAGGAATAGTCTCTCCTAGCAACATGCTCAAATTATTTGAGGCACAGCTTTTATCATCTTTACCTCCAAGGAGCACTCTGGCTGTCCATGGGATGTTCAGTACTCTTCTCCAACACCAAAGCTCAAAGGTATCAATTCTTCTTCTGTCATCCTTATTCATTGTTAAGCTCTCTGATGCAAAGCAAGTGATCAGAAAGACCATAGCCTGAATCTGATGCACCTTAGTCCTCAAAATGGCACCATAACTCCTCAATAATTTGCAGAGATTCCTGATTATAGACTTTCCCAGTAATATGTCTCCTGATTTCCTGACTACTGGTACCAAGGCTGTTGATTGTGGATCCAAATAAGATGAGGCCATCAACAGTTTCGATCTTTTCTCCATCTATCATGAACCTATATATCTTATAGATCCATGAGCGTACATATCGAGTAGTATTTTCTTGACATTGAGATACAATTCATATTGAAGGTTGTATTCTTTGATCTTCTGCAACAAGTGCTTTACAACCTCTCACTTTCAGTAAGCAAGGTTGTGTCGTCTGCATAGTGCAGGTTACTGATGAGACTTCCTCCAATCTTGATACCACATTTTTCATAGAGTGCAGCTTCTCGAATTTGCTCAGCATGCAGACTGAAAAGGTAGGGAGTGAGGATACAACCTTGATGCATTCCTTTCTTTTTTTCTAATAATTTTATTTTATTAATTTTAATGAACATTTACAGAGATTTTGGATTTCCATTCATTCATTGTAAAATTTTTCTCCCTGCCCACCCCTCCCCCTGCAATTCACTCTTCTTTTTGAAAAGTAAAAGAAAATTTCTTTCATTTATAGACAATCCCCTTTCCCCCCTCCCCCAGTACACTCCACTATGCAGCCTTCACTCTGGACTCTTGTCAAGACCATAATACCCAATCATATATCGCTTTTAAACTGTTCTCTCCCTTATCTGTTCCAATGCAGTATACATAATTAATCCATTTTTTCTCAGTCTCACTGCAACCCTGATGTTAGTCCCATTCTATAACAGTGGCACTATGCACTATTTGTCCTTTTGTGACTGAGATATTTCAATCAGCATAATGTCCTCCAGGGTCACCCATTTTGAATAATATTGCATGAGTTCCTTGTTTTTCAATGTAGCATAGTATTCCATTGTGTGAATATTCCAGAGCTTCTTTATCCATTCATTTGTTGATGGGCACCTAGGTTGTTTCCAATTCTTTGCTATTGTGCACAAAGCCACAATAAACACGGGTGTGCATATATCTTCCTACATGGCAGTTATGGTTTCTTTAGGGTATATTCCCAGTAGAGGAAATACTGGGTCAAATGGTATTTCTATTTGCAACTTTTTGAGAAAGTGCCTTACAGCTTTCTATAGTGGTTGCACCATTTTACACTTCCACCAACAGTGAATAAGGGTTCCAGTTTCTCCACAACTTTGCCAGCATTTGTTGCTTGCTGTTCTGTTACATTTTGCTATTCTTACTGGGGTGAGATGATATCTTATAGTTGTTTTGATTTTCATCTCTCTTACAGCTAGGGATTTTGAACATTTCTTCATGTGCTTGTTGGCCATCTGAATGTCTTCCTTGGTGACGTGTCTGTTCATATTCTGTGATCATTTGTCAATTGGATTGTTTACCTTTAACTTGTTGTGGTGCTCAAGTATTTTATAAATTGTAGATATAAGTCCCTTATCTGATATGTCATTACCAAATACTTTTTCCCAGTCAGTGGCTTCCCTTTTTACTCTGTTGGAGAATTTTTTGGATGTGCATAGGGATTTGATTCTTTGAAGGTCCCATTCATCTATTTTATCCTCTCCTGGTTGTAGATTTTTCAGGATGCTTGGAAGACTGTTTATGATGTGGATTAGGACTTGTAGATTTCTTCCAAGGTTTTCTTTAATGACGTTTATAGTCCTTGGTTTTAGTCCTAAGTCCATGATCCACCTAGAGTTACTTTTTGTGTATGGAGTGAGGTGTGGATCTTGCTTGAGTCTTTTGCAGATAGTTTTCCAGTATTGCCAACACCATTTGTTAAAAAGGCTGTCATTTCCCCACTTAACTGTTTTCATCTCCTTGTCAATAATCAGTTGACCATAGGTAAGATGGGCTGATTTCCAGGTTCTCAGTGGTACCTTATCTGGTTGAGACTTGCAAGGCCTATTAGTACTATCAGCTAATTGTTTCCATGTGCCTTTGATTTAACAAATGCACTGTAATACCATTGGATTTAAAAACCATTCACATCTTGAACTAACTTCCCTTTATCTCCTTCCCCCACAACAAACTTGTTAAGACTTAATTATAGATGCTGTCTCCACCTTCCAATTTGTATTTTTTTCTCCATCCACTCCAAGTGGGCACACTCCCTTAAAACATTCTCAATACGAAAAAGCACAGACATGGCTGTGCTCTGGAGGCTGAGGGACTGCGGTACCCAAGGAGCCCAAGCTGTGTTCCTCTGGACCCCAGTCAGACCTGCCCCTGTCTCAGCGTTTCTCCAGGACCGGTCATCTCCAGGAGTGCAGCATATTCTCTTGTCCTTGAGCCACCATTCTGGTTCCAAGGCTGCCTCTCTCCACTGGACTGGTGTGAGAGTTGTGTTTTCCTCCTGGGCCTACTCCCAGCTGCTTATTTGAATCCTTGCTCTGCAATGGACTACTCGTTGGCTGCAGCCCTTACTATCCATAGTCACTGGGGCTTCAGACAGGTTGTTACTATGTCCACGGAGATACATCACAGAAAGCTTCCAAGGCGGGCCTCTTGGCACTCTCGGTTCTAACCTTTGCTGGCCTCTGTTATTTCAACTACCATGATTTAGGCATCTGCAAAGCTGTTGCCATGCTGTGGAAGCTCTGACTTTTTTTACTTAAGACCTACACATGATTGTACACCTCTTTGACTCTTTTCTGTCATGCCATTCAACTGACAATAAAGACGGAGCCTAACAGATATGTCCAGTGGTAAGACAGCTCTCTCCTCCTAGTCACGTGATTATTTTCAGAATTTAATCTTTGAGGAAAAAAGTTGGAAGGAATTATAGTAATTAAATAACGAGGCTGTATTCCTCATTTTAGTAAGATAATGGAGTTGTCTCCTCCTAATTGCTCTCAAGCATCACAGTGTAACAAAAGCATCACAGTATAATGAAACCGTGTATATGAGCTTTTGCCTCTTAGTTCATTAATAGCCTAATGGGAATTCAGTTTATTACTACCCACACATTGTGAGCAAACCTATTTTTGGAATGATGGACAATGGGAAAAATTATTAAGTCATAAATAATTTTCAGAAAATTGAACTATGTTTTAGTTTCTGGGAAAAAAACAAAACAAAACCACATTTTCAATACCTACATCTTGTAAAAGTTAATGGCATCTGCCAGAGGAATTAGGACACCCACTCCTGTGGTTTTTCTCTTAACTCACTGGCATCTCTGGTTGGTCCCTTCTGCTATATGAATTTGAGCATGCCTGCTTCTATCTTGTATTTCTTCTCTCCCTAGGTAATCTCATCCAGTCTTGTGGATTTAAATGCTCTCTTGCATCAACAGCTCTTGGATTTTTACTTCTAACCATGACCTCATTCTCATCCTTCTTCTTATCATTATGCATTTTATGCCTTCAACTCTACCTAGACAGTCAGCAAAGTTATATGTATGTGTATCTGTATTTTTTAACTGTGATTTTAACAAACACTTACAGAAATGTTGCGTTTTCATTCATTCATTTATTGTTACACATTTTCCTCTCCTTTCCCTCCCCAGTCCACTTTGCAATGAACCTCTTGGTCCAAACTCTTATTACGCATTATAAGCTCCTTTAATTTTCCTAATTTCTATTAACCTCAAGCAAATCAAAGAGCAAATAGGTGAAGAAGACCAAAGAAGTCCAGCACTAATTACAAATTATAAACAACAGATCACAGTATTTAGGGCAAAACTTAAAAAAAAAAGTCTAATCAAATTTCTAACATTTTTAAAGTAGTTTAATATTATTAAGAGTTTTCAATGACTCAAGCAAATTTTCTATAAAACTTCATTCATCTCTTGCATTTTTACTATTTTAATAAAAAAGACTTACCCTAAATAGCAACCCTGCCAAACTCTGAGCAAACAAGTCCTTAGTTTGTTTATCCTTTGGCTTCTGCATGATAGCTTCTGTTATCCTGAGTAGTATTTGCAACATCTGTTCCCTGGACCACACAAAAATAAAAGCTTATTATCAATAATCACATCTCTAAAGCAGTTTATCTTACAAGAACAAGAAATTATGCTAAGAATTTAGTTACACTGATAATCATATATAAAAAATCTGAATGCTAATTATATAATGAATACCAGTATTTTACCAGCATTAATTACTTTGTTACAACAGTTCTAGAAGTAGTTCTATGGCCACTGTAACATGCAAGACAAAACCGAAACTACTCCACTGACTTTTCTCTTTTTAGCAAAAAGGGACGCAGGATTAGGGCTCAAGGAATAGCTGAGCTTGTTTGAACTAATATGGCACTCTTTAGTTTTCACATGTATTATTTACCTTGATTTGTAAGGTCTATCTTTGTGACACAGAAATTTAAAAAAAAAAAAAAACCCAACAAAGACTTTTGGGTCTTTATGTCGGGGGCTTATGCAGTCAGTAACCCAGCATGATCAGTCTTATGAGAAAAGTTCTCTAGTGGCCCAGAGGTAAGAAACTCTGCTGCAATCCCAAAGACATGAGATCTGAATCCAGTTGCTCCACAGGAGAAGGATGGACAGTCTCCTCCTGTGCAATTTACTGTCTCTGAAAACTGGCTGGAGGGTCAGCTATGAGTCAGTTCCAACTCAACAGCACACCACCACAACAACAAAGAGATAAAAATACCATTACTAATTACAATAATAATGATTAATCCTTTAGAACATCTAAAGAGCACTTCGTTTCTTTCAGGTAGGTGGGATTCCTACTCATGTGCCAACTCTCCGTTTATCTTTGTCTAGAAACCATGGAAAAGAGAATGCATCATCTTTTCTATAAAAGAGGTTCCAGTTTTCCACTGGGCGAAATCACCTTGGTTTACTTTAACTTCTACTCAGAGTAATGAATCATTCATAAATTTTCCCTTAACTCTATTGTCCCTTAGTGATGTGGTTTTTGTTATGTGCTTTTGAGTCTCCAGTGACTCAGAGTGACCCTACATACAATAGCTCTAAAGCTTGCCTTGTCAAGCCAGTCTCACTGACTCTGACACACCTACTCCCATTGCCCAAGTTACTGTTATCAATCCTTAGTGACAAACTCAGGAATTGGACAAAGACATATAGTCCAGATTAGATGATGAAATCTTTATAGTTCCTGTATTCTATCTTCATGTCCTCTACATATCAAAACAGTATTTTCCCTTTATCATACACAATGCTAAATCTCATTAAACTTCTTATGATGATCTCTAGGATTTTCTACCCTTTTTGTAATCAGACTCACTTGAGTTTCACCCTACATCATTGCTGGCATGCATTCTTATTGTACTTCCTCTACCTGTCTGTTTATTTCTGTATTCTGCTATGTACTCTGGACACTTGGAAGAGGAAGAAGCATCAAGTCACTTAAGATCTGGGAAGTGTGCATGGAACCCAATGATAACTCTGAAGAGAAACAAAGAAAGAATTGGCACCAAGCTGGGTACAGCTTTCATCCAACATGTAGGTGATTATTTCTTGTGTTGATTGGAAAGACTACCATAATCTGCTTAAATTATGCAAGGCTTTCAGAAACAAACAAAAATCTTTTCTGTTACTACACAGCATGGAGAAACAATGATTCACTACCTAACTTGGGAGGGACTGGAGAGCACTATCTGAAGTGAACTAAATCAGTCCCATAAAGACAAATACTATATAAGACCATTACTGTAGAAATAGATAACTAGTAAAACGGGTATGAGGATCTAAGGGGGGAAGGTAGGATGGGCAGGGTTGGTGGGGGGCTGGTAATCATAGGGTCACACAATTTGATGGGTGGAGAGAGGAGTGGATAAAGATCTGGGAATAAAGTAGGAAAGATCTGGTGCAGAAAATAATGTAAACGAAGTTTGCAAGCAAACCCGTTTAAAAGAAAAAATCTATTTAAAAAAAATCTCTGTAAGTTAATCAATTGGTTACACATCTGTGATGTGAATATAAGGGGAATAAAAGAAATTTACAGTTTGGAAATTTTTTTGAACAAAAGGAATACTACAAACTTACAGGCTGCCACTGTGAACCTCAGTTGGCCCTTTTCTATTTTGTTTCTAAAAAATTACTTTTGGAGGGAAACTGGAGTGTCAAACACTTCTGCAGAAGTATATGAAACTAGGATATGTGCTTTCATGTCTTTATTGTTTATTTTATCCGTGTTTTCTCATATCTACCACATCAAGATGACCTGTAAGCAGGAATATGCCCTCTATTCACCACTGGATACTAGTCATCCTTCTTCCTCCCTGTACGGCCTACTGACATTCCTGCTCCTTTCCCATCCCTTCTTGACTCCCACCCTTTTGACCTTGTATAGTCAATTGTTCTATGTGCTTTCCTCCCTGATCTTATTCATCACTTTATAGGTTTATCTAATATTTACCTAAAATTGAGGATGATTTC